TACCACCATCCACGGTCTCCTCTATATATTGTAATTGTGTCTTATCCTGTGTATTCTTATTTATTGTTGTTGTCATCCTGTAAAGCTCTTTGAGAAGCCACCTTTAAAGGCGCTATATGAAATAAAGTTTATTATTATTATTATGTTGCTGTGCGTCACTGTGTGTGTCAATATGTCACTGTGCGTCGCTGTGTGTGTCTTTATGTCGCTGTGTGTGTCGAATGTTGCTGTGCGTCACTGTGTGTCTATATGTCGCTGTGTGTGTCTATATGTCGCACTGTGTGTCACTGTGTCTGTTGCTGTAAATGTCTGTAAGTCGTTGTGTATATGACATTGTGTGTCTGTGCCCTTGCACTTCGCGTCCAGAATCGTCTGTCATTCCAGCCCTGCGTGACGCCCCCATCGAAAACAATCTGCGCGATTCTCCCTCTCCGAGCATGATGTGCCTTGTTCTCTGTGCTTTGTTTTATAGCCTTCGCAACCTTTAGTTTCATTATTCAGCACCCCAAATGCTTGGAAATGATTCTTTTTAGACTGTGAGCTCAGGGCTGGGGAATTTCCAGAGAATTCCGAGGTGAGAGGAGGCAGGAGGTAACTAAATGTTTTCCCAGAAGCTGCCGTTCCCTGCCGTTCCTGCAGGGAGGAGAGAGGGATGTCTGTGGCGCCCTGGTGCTGTGTCACAGGGCCTGGTAGCTCTCATTTCATATTGATCAGACTCCGCTCGTGGCAGCGCAGTGATCCCTGCCCTCTCCCGGCCTCTGTTACAGCTGAACGAGAAGCTGCTGGACGTGGAGAATGAGAACATGACCAGGGTGGCCGAGCTGGAGAAGCAGCTGCTGCACAAGGACAAGGAGCTGGAGGCTGTCAAGGTAGGGCCACCTGCTGTCTCCTGCCCCTGCCCCTGCCCCTGCCCGGGCTCAACAGGAAGGGAGAGGAGGGGTGCTGGCAGTTTCCGGCTAAGAGCAAGTCATTCCAGTCTGCACTGCATCTCGAGATGCGGCTAGTGTTATTTTCCTCAATCCTTTATCCTGCAAACAAGCTGCGTGTTCTTTTGCGACTCCAGGCTGCACTGACGGCCTGCTGAGCAGGGAGATCTGTAATGTGAAAGATCTGGCTGAGGTCTCTAAGCCTTAAGAGAGCTTAGTGAGCAAGCAGAGCCAAGATGGGGTGGAAACTGAAGTGACGAGGGCAGGCTTTTCATCCTTTAATGTGTCGTGTGCGTGCCCGCAGAGGCCCTCGTCTTTAACAC